GTCTTTCCCAAACCCACGAAGACATTGTTGTACAACAGAAAGTCATATTGTTCAAAAGTTATCAAACTATGCATACCTCACCATGCTGAATACCTCACCATGTCCAGGGGAGGACATACAAAAAAGTGATATTATGTGTACTAACATACGAATGACAGATAACTTATACTTTTATGTATCAAATTAATACAAATTGTCATATTGAAAAAAAAAGAACTGACTGTTCACTTTCTGCCTAATATATCCCACTCCTGGACAGGTGCCATTATAATGATTAACCAATGTTATTCACTTCATCTGCGAGTGGTTTTAATGATTTGGCTGATCAGTGTATACAGGGGTGCCCAAAAGGTAGATCCCCAGATGTATTAAAACTACAGCTTCCATGATGTTTTGTCATTCAAAAGGCATGCAAGGCATCATGGGAGTTGTAGTTATACAACATCTGGGGATCTCCCTTTTGAGCACCCTTGGTGTATATCAAGGAGGAACCTATGGGAAGACATTTGCAAATGATTGCTTGCAGAAAACTTGTGATGGCTTGATTGAAGACAATGTTGCTACAGCAACTAAAAGAAAGTTAATATAAACAAAGCCTTAGGGCCTGATAGTATTCACTCATACGTACTTAGAGAAACACTATAGTCACCAGAACCTCTACAGCTTAACATAGTGGTTCTGGTGTCTATAGCCTGTCCCTGCAGGCTTTTCAATGTAAACACTGCCTTTCAGAAAAAAAAAGCAGTGTTTACATTGCTGCCTTGGAACAACTTTAGTGGCAGTCACTCAGAAGGCCACTCGAGGTGCTTCCTATTTCAGTTCTGCACAGCGTGCTGCACTGACTTTCAGAGTCTTAACGCTCTGTATGGAGACACTGAACATCCCCCATAGAAAATATCACAAAAGAAGAGAAGGGCAGCGCCACATATACAACAACAATATTAAGACAGTCAGAAAGGGCAGATACAAGTCAATATTAAGAATAAAAAAAATGCTAAAAATATAGTCCCCCCCAAAAAAGTCCTCACATAAAAAGATGTCTTTAGTTAAAACATAAGTGCAGCTGTAAATACTAAAACTTAAGCCTTTAATTACATTAAAGTCAAGTATCCCTAGCTGCCATGAATTATATCTTCTGCTCCTATTCTCAAGGTTGACTGACCAGTTTTGTCAGTTAGATGACATAATGATAGTTTTTAGATCTTGAGTTATGTTTGTAATTCCTAGAGCTTGTCTTCACTATTGCTTGTATTGCTATTATGTTGAATTGCATTAGTCCTCAAATTGTTAAAAAATTTTGAAATGGAGACTCGAAGAGAGGTAAAACTATTTGTGTCACTTATTTAGCTGTAGCAATTGCTTGCTGTGAGAACACTATGGCTTGAGTAAATGTCAAAATGTAAATAAATCTTTTTCCAGTGGTAAAAGAGAAAACTACTAACATTATTTTATTTCTTTGCAAATTTCCATTATAAATGATAAGCATACACCTTACGGTACTGCAGTGCTAATAATTTTATAATGGATTTTTCTGTTCTGCCAATTGTAATCATTTTGTATTTCAGCACAATTTCTTGCATAAGAGGAGGAGGGATAGTACAACGTACCCGAGCAGCTCTCTGCATGCTGAGTAATACATTATTATATGGTTTTAACCTTTTCAGCACCACAAGTATGCTATGCTGTGTTCTAGTCATATCTCGGGCACTCAAAGGGTTAAACCAATAAAATAAAGTTGACATTTTGACATATTCTTATGAGTCCAATAGATCAGGAGGTGGAGTGATAGGTATCCCATAGAAAGGGTCTGGCATCCTATCATCTTAAAAACTTCTCTAGCCTTTATTGAACTGGAATTTTTCGGTTGTTCTTCTGTGAAGAAAGATTGTCAACATACTTATTCAACCATCCCATCACAATTGCGAAAAGAACTAAAATATTAATATTAAATAAATAAATTCTGCTTTGGCTGACTGCCTGAATTTTGTGCATGGCAGTATCTAATTTGGCTAATAAAGTAACAGTGAACAATGTTAAATTGAACAAAATCAAAGGCTGAAGTGCAGCGTGTATACATTGACTATTGTTTCCTTGATTTATTTTTAAAGCAAATTGTGTTCACACAGTTCCCGCTACTAGATGCAGACTGGGGATTGTCTGTGAGTGTCCAGGTACGTAAGGAGGCATGCAAAATGTTTTTTGGAGCAATCTACTAATAAGTGTACAGGTTTGTATAGTCTACCATCAGCAAACAATGTTGTTTTAACAATTCACCACAAGGTGGTGCCAAAGTAGAAGTCAAGTTATATAAAATTCATCTCTCTTGCTATAAAATGTACTATAAAGAAAGCCAAGAATTCAAGTTAATCTCGAACAGTGATTGGGTTTAGAAAGATCTCTGTATTTTGACAGGAGTTAAGATGTCAGTGGATGATGTAATATAGTCATTGTTTAACTGTGCAGAATAATGCAAACAATGATTCACTGTGTGGCATCAGTCTGTCCTCTCATTTGCACTTTTTCAAACACCACGGCTTGCTTTGCTAACCAATTCTGGATTTCCACTTGCCAATGGTGATTGAAAATGTTGTGCACTGAGTTTAATACAGAGAGGAAACAAAAGGAAATAGTTTTAATTGTCAGGAAATCTCAGAATTCAACTGATTAGTTAAAGGACCACTATAGTGCCAGGAAAACATACTCGTTTTCCTGGCACTAGAGTGCCCTGAGGGTGCCCCCACCCTCAGGGTCCCCCTCCTGCCCGGCTCTGGAAAGGGGAAAAGGGGTTAAACTTACCTTTTCCTGCGCTGGGCGGAGAGCTCTCTGCCTCCTCTCCTCCTCTGATCCGCCCTGTCGGCTGAATGCACACGCGCGGCAAGAGCTGCGCGCCCATTCAGCCAGTCACATAGGAAAGCATTCTCAATGCTTTCCTATGGACGCTGGCATGCTCTCACTGTGAAAATCACAGAGAGAAGCACGCAAGCGCCTCTAGTGGCTGTCAATGAGACAGCCACTAGAGGGAATGGGGGAAGGCTTAACCCATTGATAAACATAGCAGTTTCTCTGAAACTGCTATGTTTATGAAAACATGGATTAACCCTAGAAGGACCTGGCACCCAGACCACTTCATTAAGCTGAAGTGGTCTGGGTGCCTAGAGTGGTCCTTTAATGTCAATGCCTTGTGTAGTGACTATGGAAAATGTTTCTGACTTAACTAATATTAAAACAAAATAAAAAATTATTATTTTCAAATTTGATTTTGATTTTTTAATGAGGAAATTTAAATAAAAAAACAAACATAAGATTTGCTGAGATATAAGTTTTGGCTAAATAACTGAAACTTTTTTTTTTTGTTATATCACATTATTGGGATATAGTCTGCAATTTTCAGTTGGTTTCACTAGAAAAGTAGATGCTATTGCAGGTGTGCTAACAGTAACTTTTTCTTTATTCATTCTTTAAATAATAATATATTATATTTTCTGTAATGATCACGCATTTCATAGACCAGTCACCGTTCCTAAATGTGAACAGTATAAAAGTCTTCGATTTAAGTGTGAGCCCTTATAAAGTATAACAAAATATAATCTGGATAGGACCAACGATTTTATTAAAAAAAATTTAATTCAGGTTCTAACATAATTTTTTTTGCATGATTAGTCATATTTTCTAACAGCTAGTTTAATATCTGCTTTAGTAAAATAATCAAGAGTTTTCAAGACTAAAAAACCCTGGGGTTTAATGAATATGGTTTCCCAAGCACATGTGATATAAGGGGCTTATATCTGGGACCAAACAGGTTTTAACATAGGAAAATGCCAGTTTCGTCACAGTGCTTCCAACAGAGATCCAAAGGGAGCTGTTTCATTTTCTAAAGTCTGATGGTGGTTAGATACCATTGGAAAAGCATTTTATATGTTTGATGTTTATATTTGACAGATGGTTCCGAACCCTATTGCTTAAAAAATATCAGCCTAGTCACTTCCCTCTTCAGGAGCACCCAAGTCATGTTTTCATGCTGCTATGCAATTTGCTAGGAGTTTGCTGCGAGTGAGAGGTATACTGAGGTCATCTGTCCTTTTCGTATTGGTATTAGGAGGCAATCCTTCTCAAAGGGCGTACGTTGGCCATACCCACCTACTTTACAATTGATTGGCAAGATCACGCAGCTGTATATAATAATCAATCAAACTGTGATTGATTATTGAGATGCATCAGTCTGGTGATTTCCCTGTCCTAATTGTGAGAGAAAAGAGGTGGGGCCTGACAGTTGACCAGGTGGTGCATGGTGCTGGAGCTCCTCAGGGAAAATACTCTATTGAGTCAAAACTTGACTTTATTTTCTGCAAAACTCTCCTTCCCAACCCTGGGAAATACCCTGCTGATCTGTTTGGCACTCACCTACTCACAGCAAATGGATATAGCCCGTAACAGACTTACCTGCGGCCTGCAGTTACACTCGAGGTCGGGGAGGCGGCCGATCCTTGGCTATGACCTGGAGCTTGTTTATTTTGTGCCCTGTTCGTCCACCCTCCCCCCATTTGGACCAGTGGGGGATATCCGGTCCCCACTGAAAATCTCAAAACAATCACCTATTCGAGAACTACAAGTCACTGGAGAACCAAAGAGTTGAGGCCTAACAATCAAAATAACCACCCTATCAGGGCCTGCAGCTATGAGCACCTCACCTACACATATGTCTACGCTCCTCATGGAGTTTGACCACATCTGGGACCGGTTTTGGGCAAAACTCAATGCGACGGGGCTTCCCTCTACTCATGTTGAATGAATCGTGGCACCGCAGAGCTGTTGTGCCAGTAGTAGAAGCATGACTATGCCTCCCACACGTACATCCAGAAGGAAGCGGCGCAGGAGGGGACGCAGGACAACACCCCCCTGACTAACATCAGTGCTCCCACAAGTGCAACATATTTCCTATTACTCACCCCTCCTGCGGAGGCACAAGCACCCTCTTCCCGAGTGAGACCAACCTGATCCAGAAGGTCTCGCCCTTCTGTTATCGGATTAGAGTTCTGGCCGACGCCCGAGTTGTAAGCCCGGAGAGAATACCTTCTGACCCCCTAGCGACTTGGGCTCCATGGGAGGGCCCCATCGAGGTGGCCAATGCTATGGAACGCTGGGACTCTCCATCCCTAGGCATCAGCTAGGTGGCTCAAGGACACTTCTAGCAGATAAGCTATTGATGTTGAGGCTTTCACAGCACACAATGCTCACTATGCTTCAGTGGTACCACCCTTCTGCTCCTATATAATAATTCAAACTACTCACCAGTGGTATTTGATTCGTATTGTTATCCACAGTTCTACAGTATTATATGGTATTTCCTAAAATCATTCTGCATGAATTAGTAGTACCGTGTTTCTGTTGCCTGTTTTAAATAAACTTGAAAAAGTGCTATTTCATCTATGTTTCCAGCATTATTAGCTTTCTTTTTGTACTGATGCATATAATTTGGTAAAATTTTTGTGCTGACCTATTTATCAACCTAGGCACTAAAAAAATAAAGAATTTAAAATAAAATAAAGATGGGGGTAATAATAGGAGAAAACATCTTGTTCCTTAGGATTGGTGTAAGGGGGGGTTGGAACAAGGAAAGCTCATATCAAGTCTTAAGATAGTCCCATATACTGAGGGAGTAGGTAATAGCTAGGGAAGTGGCCTGTGATAATGGTCTGCAGATATGTGACCCGCATATAAAGGGATGATTTTAATGCAGCTATGCCATATTCTTTCATAAAGAAGGAACCTGACTGTGATATGAAAGAAAATGTATTTCCTCATTTCCCTTGTTAAATTGTTCCCCTACTTTGGTCAAAAGATGGAAGCTGATATGAATTAGTAACTTGAGAATGTGGCTAAAGAGAGAGGAAAATATCTGTCCGACTAATCATGCATCATTTTTAGAAAAGCCACAACCCTGCTTTGAAGATCAAGAAAAAAATAAAGAATTGAACAATTTTACTAAATAACTTATTAGTATGTCACCTAGAATGTTTCTGAACAGGCCGTCCAAGGTCACATCCCTAAAGATAAAGTGTCCCTCTTTGTCCATTTGAAATGTTGGCAAGTATGAAATAGTCCGCCAGATATTGTATTATATGTTTCTGACTACTTCATCTTTATCTTTTTTAACCCCTTAGCGACCGAGGACGGTTCAGGACCGTCATCGGCATTTTTGCCTTGAGGACCGATGACGGTCCTGAACCGTCCTAACGGTCTGGGGGTACTTACCTGATCGCCGTCGTTCCCCCGGCGGCGATCAGTGTTCCTCCGGTTGTGGGGAGACTGCCTGCAGCCCAGACAGTCTCCCCACACTGATTAGGACCCCTGTGGCCATGTGATCGCTTAACACAGCGATCACATGGTCACAATAGGTGTCCATAGTGCTGCCTGCAGGGGGACTGTCTGTGCTGACAGGCAGTCTCCCTGCTAATGTAAAATCAAAAATAAAAATAAAGTTAATGGTAATAAAAAAAATAATAATAATTATATAGGTGTATATATGATATATAGACATATAATATATCTATATAATATATGTCTATATATCATCTATATAATGCCATACTAAGTGTATTTTTATATTAATATGTACTTATATTAATATAAAAATACACTTATAATTAAATTACACACATATATATATAATATATATAATAACTATATATATTGTATATATATATTATTATAAAATATAAATAATAAGTAATTTAAATTAAATAAATTTTTTTTTAAATAATAATAAAAAATTTAAAAAAAATTATATAGCTATATGAAATTTTATTCTAACTGTATTTTAAAATTAATATATATATATTTATATCAAAATACACTTAGAATGAATTTGTATATATATCTATGTATATAAAAATAAATAAAAATAATAAGAAATATACATATGTCCATATACAAAATTACATAAATAATTATATAAATATACACGTAGACTTCAAATATATAAATATGCATATATATTTAAATTCTACGTGCGTATTTATGTAATAGTTTTACATAATTCAGTAATTTTATTGATTGCAATTTAAGGGACCTGCCTGCCAACCCAGGCCGAAATTCCAGAGAATTGAATTTGCTAGCACTGTATTTTACCCTGTAACGTTCTACGACACCCTAAAACCTGTACATGGGGGGTACTGTTTTACTCGGGAGACTTCGCTGAACACAAATATTAGTGATTCAAAACAGTAAAACATATCACAGCGATGATATTGTCAGTGAAAGTGACTTTTTTTGCATTTTTCACACACAAACAGCACTTTTACTGATGATATAATTGTTGTGATACGTTTTCCAGTTTTTAAACACTAATATTTGTGTTCAGCGATGTCTCCCGAGTAAAACAGTACCCCCCATGTACAGGTTTTATAGTATTTTTGAAAGTTACAAGGTCAAATATATGGGTCAAATATTTTTACATTGAAAATGGCCAGGTTGGTTACGTTGCCTTTGAGAGCGTATGGTAGCCCAGGAATGAGAATTACCCCCATGATGGCATACCATTTGCAAAAGAAGACAACCCAAGGTATTGCAAATGGGGTATGTCCAGTCTTTTTTAGTAACCACTTGGTCACAAACACTGGCCAAAATTAGCGTTCAATTTAGTTTTTTTACTTTTTTCACACACAAACAAATATGAATTCTTACTTTGGCCAGTGTTTTCGACTAAGTGGCTACTAAAAAAGACTGGACATACCCCATATTGAATACCCTGGGTTGTCTACTTTAAAAAAAATATGTACATGTGGGGTGTTATTCAGAGATTTATGACAGATAATAGTGTTACAATGTCACTATTGATAAATTTTAAAAATTTATGTTTTGAAACCGCAATATTCTACTTGTACCTATAGCCCTATAACATGCAAAAAAAGCAAAAAAGCATGTAAACACGGGGTATTTTTAAACTCAGGACAAAATTTTGAATCTATTTAGCAGTTTTTTTAATTCGCTTTTGTAGATGAGTAAAAGATTTTTCAAGTAAAAGTCAAAAAACATGTATTTTTTTCAATTTTTCATCATATTTTTTTATTTTTTTTAAATTAAAATACATGAGATTATATAAATAATGGTATGTAAAGAAAGCCCCTTTTGTCCTGAAAAAAACAATATATAATTTGTATGGGAACAGTAAATGAGAGAGCGGAAAATTCCAGCCAAACACAAACACCACAAAAGTGTAAAAATATGCCTGGTCGCAAATGTACAACATCGCAAAAACAGTCCAGTCCTTAAGGGGTTAAATATGGCACATTGTGCACATTTGATGGAATATACTCGGGATAGTGAGGGATGACTTTTAGAAATCTGAGTGCACAAACTCCTGAACATTTCTTCCAAACAGATTTCATATAATTTTTTTTAATTTTCATCTAAATATATTGAGATTGAAAACAACATTTTTAGAGTCTTGCTTTTATTTTTATTTTTTTGTAAAGAACAATTTGTATTGGTTTGTTTTTTGTTAAAAACAGGAAATATGGGATACAGAATGGAAGAAGGGGAACACATTCAAATATATGTCATAATACGTCAATGCAATTCTTGTTACAAATCACCAAACTGTCTTGTTTTCAATGTGCTTGTAACTGATACTGTCACCACAATTGCCCTTATGCTTTTTTGTCAGTCTTGCTACTGTTTTGTTTTTTCCTTTTATATTATTATTATTATTTGCCATTTATATAGCACCAATAGATTCCGTAGCACTTTACAATATTATGAGGGGGGGATTTAACTATAATTAGGACAATTACAAGACAACTTACAGGAACGATAGGTTGAAAAGGACCCTGCTCAAATGAGCTTACAGTCTATAGATACATCTTGGGTTCTGTGCTGTTACTCAACGCTCTTTTGGTCGTATTGTCTTGTCACTTAATACAGTTTGTTATCCTGACTCTTGGAACATACGTACTCTCCTAGCATGTTTGCAATGAGAACATATTTAAGAACATATTTTACAATGGATGGTCAGTTACATACGTCATAGTTTTCCTTTTGTCATGTGAATTGCTACACCTGTGTGGGTAATGTGTTTTAAGGTCCCCGCCTGTTATATTGGGTTTATAGGGTGGTTTAGTTTGTATTGTTGCCATAGCCTGTCAACTTCCCTTTGTGTTTTCCCTGTTTGCCAATGTATCATTGCTAAACTCTTGTAATCTACACTATGGAGGTAATTGTGATGACTTTTGATATGGGTGGTGTCTCTACTGATTTCCACTGTCTCGCTGCCAAATTAATCGCTGCTATCAGGATGAGAAATGCCAATTTGCAAATCGGTTTTGTGAGGCCCGGGGGCCACATGAACAGCATGTAGCATTCCATTGATAATTTTATTTGTATGTCTGTGCTGTCATTTAGCACCTGTTCTATCTGTTTCCAGTATGTTTCTATGTGTGGGCACGTCCACCATGTTTACTTGGTCGTTCCTTCCCGTGCGTGGCATCTCCAGCATGGACTGTGTGGTAAATGGTACATTTTAGCTAACTTTTACAAGGTCAGATGCCACTGGTACATTCGTGTTCTTGACATCTCCAGATGGGATACACAGAATGACATTCCCTTAACTGCGGTAAACGCTTTTTTTCCAGGCTTGGGGTGAATGTTCCCTCCCAATGTCTTTGTGCCATTCTTTTGAAAGCCCACTCTGTATCTTGTGCCCCTTCTATGCATGTGTTGTAACAGAATGATAGAATTTTTTCTTACTTTATTGTCTTTATGCAGATGAGTTCGAACCTTGTTGCTTGTGGAGTCTTGCTTTTCCTAATGTTGATCTTTCAGCAGTTTAGCAGATACTTTGTAACTTTGTTACTGCCACCTTCCTTAATTCCCGTGGGGAATAATGGGCTTCCAAATGTCATAAATTAACTACATTTTTTGGACCAATATCGGCTTGACAAAATTAATGTTTTCAGAAATTCGGACGAACTGAAATTAAAATATGAACAAATCGAAACAAACCAAATTTTTACCCAGTGCTTTTACTGTATTGCCCTGGCTCATTACTCTATACTCACAGTACAGAGATGATATTGTGTCATGGGTTCGTGGGTCTGTTGCTGTTATTCCTTCAATCATCCACTAGTCCTAATTCCAGATGTGCTGAATATAGTAAAAGTATTTCCTTTGTGTAGAGTTTCCTCAATACAATGGACGCAACCAGTCGTATTCGGTAAAAGCAGCAATCTTACCTTTACAAGGCCACACTGTTTTTTCTGCAGTGCCTCTAGCATGGGATTTCCAATGCAAAAATCACAGGGGTTTCCTTTCCACAAGCCATTGTGTTTGAGAGGTAATTGAGCTCCAATTAAGCTAGTCTAATTACCTATCAAATAGGAAAACTTACATACAATTTTTACATATCATAATAATACATGACAGCATCAGAACCACACAAAAGTGATGTTCCTGAATAGCGCACAACATATCCAAAAAGCGCTCAGATTGGTTCGGTAAAACAAAAGTCATATTCGTGCAAAGTTTTGCCTGATCGGCCATGAGGTGGTAGCCCAAAACAGTTCCAGAGAATTGGTCAAGCTGGCCAGTCAGTTTCGGGAGTTCCATACGAACATGCTGGCTAATGCATTCCCTGGCTGTTAAGACATTAATGCTTCCCTCGTTTGGTAGTTTCTTACTTCCATACGCCGTTCTCCTAGCTGGTCGGGAAGTTGAACGGGCAGGTGTACAAGTTTCAGTAGGGTTTGCGAACTCGCGAAAAGGTTCCACGCCTTCTACGGCCATGTACCGCTGCCCACGCTCGGAAGACAAATCGGCTATTTGGCCATTTGTTTTCACACGTGCGTTGGTTAACAGCCAGGGGTGGTCGGTGATTACGAGGTGTTAACAAGGGGAACCACACAGAATCTGTTCGTTAATCGAACAGAAGGGAACAATTCCATTCGAATGCAGGGAAACATTAGATGAGACAAAGTATAATTAAGGGAACACATACAAGAAGTCCCATCTCCTGTGACATATTGAGTGACAAACCGGGACTTATTGAGATTGTCTGGAGCTCAATGAAGGCTGTTACAGAGAAGAAACAGGGTAAAATATGAGTAAAGAGCCAAGTATAAGATTCCCACATTTGGCCCTGCTGCAGTAAGAACATGGATGAAGGGAAATGATATCACCAGCATGTGCACAAGCTACAACAGGGCAGACTGATCAATAACATAATGGTTGGCTGGATATAGAAATAAACTGTGGGAAAAGCAAGATGGGAGTTAATAATAGGGTCGGAGACGTTTCCAGCTATTTTTAACAAAACTTTCATTGTACTTGGTTTAGAAGTGTACATAGTATGTGTTAAAACACAGGACTTTAATTAATTTTTGCAATGTTATTGTTAGTTGATAGTTGTGTTTTGAAAGGTTGCTGTATGTTGTATATAGGCCCTCACTAAACATAAGCGTAAGAGACTGTGAGGTATAGAGTACAGCGCACATCACAAAGGAGCTAAATAATTAACCTTGGAGAACCCACACAAATTGGTAAAATAAAACTTTTAACTTGTTTTTCACAATAATTATTAAAATAAATAAATGCTATCATTGTAATAGAATTGTATATGCATTTATTTAAAGGTATTGCTATGTATGCTTTTATAATAAGAAAAAAGAAGACCATTGCTTAGTCACTGGAAATATTACTTGCAAAATATACTTTACTATTCTCCACTGTAAGTATTTAGTATTCTAGTTCCATTTGAAAGAACTGAATTTCAGATTATTGAATGCAAGTTAAATTAATCATGGTGGGTAATTTAAAAGAAGTGCATGCATTTCATGGCCAGCTGTGAGGGCCAAGAGAAAGGAGACAGCCAATTAAGGAATGCTATTACCATGCCAGGATGACAAATATATACACATACCAGAAGTAGTCATGAATAGAGCTATTAGAAATTATAACTTCAACAATTTCAGGAAATTTCCCCTAACTGTACACAAATTGGAATCCCTAATGGCAGTTGATATAATTACATTGTAAATACATACAGAAAGTGTTCCCAGACAGTATCTTATTATTGCCACCTGCATTCCACATATATGTGATTAGAGCTTTGTTGAGGGAAATGTCTAAAAATGTTAAAGTAGACAGCAGGAAACTCTTTAGGAATAGGATAGTTAAAGGCAGAGGCATAGCTAGATCACTTGTCTGAATTTTGAACTTGTGTGTCACATTCACACTCACTGATCTGTGTGTGTGTGTGTGTGTGTGTGTGTCCTGACCCTTATTGTGTATTTCTCCTGACTCCCCTCCCCTTTCAACCTTGTGTGTCTCTAAACCCTTTCACTACAGTCACAGAGGCAGACACACAGACACATGCACACAGTCATATACACCAGACACAGTAATCACCACACAGTTACAAACATAGTCACAAGTCACACAATTAAAAGTACACACGTAGTCACACACTAGACACATACACACATGCACACAGTCCCACACATAGTCAAAGTCACCACAGTTACAGACACACACAGTCTCACACAGGTACAGGCACATACACACAGTCACACACAGTTACAGGCCTATAGTGACAGGCAGACACATAGTTACAAGTACACAGAGTCTCACACACACAATAATCAAATTTGTCTCCTGAGTCCTACCTTTATAGGCATGAGGGGCAGGGAAGGAGCGGATAACAGTCCCACCTTATAAAGACTTCTGAGTTGTTGTAATAATAAATAAATGCTATTGGTAATGGTAAAGACTACAAGGGTTATTTACTAAAGTGAAAATTCAAACTGAATTTAAATTTAAAGCCAGAGTAGCTGACTTGGAGAATGACAGTATTTTTCAAGTTTGTTTATTTTCACCTAAATGTAAAATCCACTTTGGAATTAACCCTGAATTCTCATTTTAGTGAATAACAGTAGATTTTATTAATGACACGGAGGCTCCTATTATGCTATCTCTTTCTTACTTTATTCCTCAGCAGCAAAGAGAAATATAAAACTGAAAGAGAAAAAATGTAGATATGCAATAATAATAATAACAGGTACAACCAGATCTGCCTAGTAACAGGGCAGCCAATCAGCTTAGTAGGAACAGTCCATAAATGCCTTGCTTAGTACTTCCACTTCCTCTTTCTTTGCTGCCGTCCTCAGACCAGCTAAGTATTAATTTCACTCCTGTATATTTTAATCTTGGATTGTTTTTATGGGTTTATCTACTGATATATTTAATGTATTATGTACTATGTACTATTATGTACTTGTATGCTGCTTTGTGCACCCTATATGATTTCTGTGTTTTGCTTTGATGTTTTTTGGCACCCCTTTTGGGTGTCTCTGTTTCTTCCCCTGCTTTGCACGGTCTCCCTGCCTGTGCTGTACCTTTTGTGTGCACAGACAGGGACCGCGGATCACTGGGGAAGCTGTTTTCTCGGGAGCTTATGTGCTCCCTGACCGCCCTCCCTCCTCCACTCGCGACTGCGTGTGCGGCCGCATGCGGCGACCCGCTCTACCTCCGGCTGCGTGTGTTTTTTCCAGCGATCTCCCCGGCCATTGGCCATCTTCTTTCACACACGTGGCTGCTGGCAGATCCGGCGGTCGGCTCCCTCTACCCCTGTTTTTTCTCCACAGGTATTTGCTTTGTGGGTTACTCAACCCCTGTTCTGTAGTTTAGGTTTTTACTCCATCATACTGTTATAACATTGTATTCTGAGACTGGTGGCCTGGCTCCCATAATATTTATTGTGGCTTAATATTTTATCTGTGTATATTTAAAGGGACATACCCCTTTTTATCCTCAAGCTTATTTACCCTCCTGTCTATCATGCAGTCTAAGGGTGATGATTCTGGCTGTCCCAGCTACCCCACCATGGAAGCCTTTCAGGCCCCTATCTCAGGTGAAGGGGGTCTCACCCCCTCTCAGGAGTTCCAGGCCCTTATTGATTCAACTAAGCAGAGGGCCCTGGCCTCTGCCATGGGGACAGTCTCATCATCGTTGTCTCACACTCTCCAACAGGCCCTGACTCAGCCCCTGGCTTCTCCTATGTTGGCAAGCCCCCTGACTGCGCTGCAACCTCAGGTCAGCCGCAAGGCATATGCCAAAACTAAGCATGTCTCCCCCGATATGACACAGGTGGTACCTGCCCTGACTGACGTGCCTATGGCCGTCCAAGATGGCGCGTTACCGCGCAAGAGAGCCGCTGGCCGGGCAAAATTGGCCAGAAAGTGGAAAAAGGCGCGTGCCCATGACAACGACGGGTCTGATTCAGATCCAAGTGGGGAGACAGGCTCGGACACCCCCGACTACGCCTCTTATGAGGAAGGGGACTCCAACGCGGAGGCGGGGTCTGACGCTTCGGCGTTACCTCCGAGTGAGGAACAAGGCATATGCGATCCACAGGGTTACCCCCTGTTTGATCCTGATGACCTTCGCCACCCTCGCTCGGCGGAATGGGACCCGCCCGAGCATATAGCTAGCTATCTAGCGCTTCGTATGCGTACCCCCTTATCCAAGGAAGGGCGCAGTAAGTTACGGGCCGAATGCCCAAGGCCCTCAGTGCCTGTGCGGCGTGTAAGACGCCAGAGGTTGACCCTCTGATCTCACAGTTCCTGACAAAAACGGGCTGGAAACCCAGAAAGGGTTTGGAGTTTTCACTCCATAATTGCCAGGACAAGATTTTGGACACTCTAGGTCCCGTGACTAAGCTTTATGAGCTATTGGAGACGGCTAAAACAGGGGATACCCCCCTGGATTTCGATGTAGCAATAGGTTGGGTCCAGAGATTGATTTGCCTACTTGGCAATGCTAACACGGCTATGTCAGCCGAAAGCTGCAAGGCGATCCTGCTTAAAATCGAACCTAAATTGGTTAACCTTGCAGTCAAGGAACCGGGCGCTGCCGCTAAAGGCATGCTCTTTGGTGAGTCTTTTGTTAAAGACTTGGGCTCTTTTGTGCGCACCTTCACCGCCCTAGATAAGGCCCAATCCAACCTTAAGAGAGTTTTTGGTCCAAAGGTTTTCAACAGGGCCGGGAGGTATAGGAGCCGTCCGCCCGGGCCGTGGAAATCGAGGTCCCTCACGGACTCAAAGAGGTTCCTTTGCTGCCCCTCGGGCCTATCAGGACTACAAACCCGCTCCCTTCTTTCCCTCCCGCGGGAGGACATGGCAGAATCGGGGAGGACGTGGCCAACCCTCATACAGACGCCCTTACGGTGAGTACTCAAAAAGGGTTTTCTCTCCGGGCGAGTGTGGGAGGCAGGTTGGCTTTGTTTCTCGACATGTGGGGCATGATCACCACGGATGTGTGGGTGTTAAATACTATCAGAGGCTTTCGCCTGGATCTTTTGTCTCCCCCTATCCAGGTGGACTCACCTCAGGAACTGAGGTTGCCGGAAGATCAGTCCGGGCTGATTACCAAGGAGATCTCGGAACTTCTGGCCAAACGGGCAATACAAGAAGTCCCGTACGATCATCCGGGATTTCTAAGCAACCTATTCCTCATCCGCATACCTGACTATACCTATGGCAGAGGTACACTGGGACTTATTGCACTTTACGTGGCAAGGACGTCGGTGGAGGTTTACCTGTCTGCCCTTCAGTCTCTCTTCAGCACCTTGGTGCTTCCCGAAGGTGATGAAGCCGGTGGTGGCGTTCCTCAGGTCGCGGGGCGTATGCATGATTATCTACCTGGACGACATACTGATTATGTCCACGTCCCCCGATCAACTTCTACAACACCTGAGCTGGACGGTGAATCTTCTGGAGAGCTTAGGTTTTCTCATAAATTGGGAAAAGTCCATGGTGACCCCATCGCAGAAAATAGAATTTCTGGGTTTCGAAGTCGATTCAGTCGCCCAGTTTCTGTTCCTTCCAGAGACCAAGCTAAAGGCTATGAAGAAAGAAATAAGACGTACTCTACGGACCACCAGTCTCTCCGTACGACAATTGGCGAGGGTCATTGGTCTTTTGGCCTCCTCCATTCAGGCAATATTTCCGGGACCCCTACGTTATCGGGCCCTACAACGTCTGAAAGGATCCCACCTTCGCTTGGGCAGTTCGTACGAAAGCGAACTATGCCTGGACAGAGACTTCAAGGAGGAACTTCGATGGTGGTTGGATCATATGGAGGCATGGAACGGTCAAGCAATCTTCGGCACCGCCCTGGACGATAGAATCGGATGCCAGCCTGCATGGCTGGGGCGCTCGCTGTGGAGATGTCTCCACAGGTGGCAGATGGTCCGAAATCGAATCAAAGCTACACATCAACTGTCTGGAATTGCTGGCGGGATCGTTCGCTATTCGCAGCCTGTCTCCAACCCTGGGAAACTGCTGCGTCCTTCTGCGTATGGACAATGTGTCCGCGGTCAGATATATAAATCACCTAGGTGGCACGAAGTCAAAACAACTGGCAAATCTAGCGAAGGATTTCTGGCAGTTCTGCCTCCACAGGTTTGGACAACGAATGGGCGGACTGGAATTCGCGATACTTGAAATACTCCGGAGATTGGCATCTGTTCCCTTCGATCTTCCGTCAGATAGATCGACTATGGGGCCCGTTACAACTGGACCTGTTCGCATCCAGACTGAACGCTCAACTACCCCAATACTTCAGTTGGAGACCGGATCCATCAGCCACGGCGGTGGACGCGTTCCTGCAGATATGGCCTCGGGGTCGTCACTTTGCGTTTCCCCCTTTCAACCTGATCTCTCGGATGCTGGCATACTTGTCCGGACAAGAATGCACGTTGGTGGTGATAGTTCCCCTATGGCAGACTCAGCCTTGGTTTCCACGTCTTTTGGAGATGTCGGCGGAGTGCCCACGGATGATCAGGATGCGATCAGAGGTGCTTCTGGATCCGGATGGGAACTTGCACGACTTAGTGAGCTGGACCAGAACCTGCTCCAGCTCACGGCTTGGTTGATTTCCGGGGACCCTGGTGTGTCTTGGACGTTCCGCAGGCTACTACAAGACTCCTGGAGAATGCCTGGGCACCGGGGACCAGAACAGCTTACAAGGCTGCATGGTGTGTGTGGTCTGGCTGGTGCGTGGGCAGACTGCTGGATCCCCTTTCTGCCCCTCTAAAGGAGGTGCTCAGTTTTCTGACCACGCATTTTGAATCTGGTTTGGCCTATCGTACTATCAATGTTAATAGATCGGCCATTTCAGCCGGACATATAGGTATTGACGGATCACCAATTGGACAACATCTTTTTGTGTGCCGTTTGTTGAAGGGTATTCGTTAATCTAGGCCTCCGAAATCCAGATATTCATCGTTTTGGGATGTTAACGTGGTGCTGGACTTCTTGGAATCATGGCCTCCTAATGAGGACCTGTCACTGAAGCAATTATCCTGGAAATTGGTTATGCTCCTGTGTCTCCTTTCATGCAAAAGGGTTTCAGATGTCAGGGCTTTGGACTGGAACGTGTTATCCTTCACCCCCGAGGGAGTGTCGTTTAACATCTTTAGGAGGACGAAGACGTCTTCTAAGTCAGTGACCTACCCTAGGTGTTCAGTCCGACCTGCTCTGTGTCTGGTAACTTGTCTACAAGCTATTCAAGTGTACTTGGATCGCACTCACCTATTGAGGTCATCGGATATATCCCAATTGTTTATTTCATTTAAGAAACCGTTTCTCCCGATCTCCTCGACTACGTTAGCTCGTTGGATTAAGAACCTTCTATCCGCTGTAGGAATTGACACCATGGCGCCATGGCGTCTAAGGCCTCCACGATGGGATGTCGTATGGATGATATCCTGAAGGTCTAGAGAATCTACGTTCCACAATTTTTTTTTCCGCCCGATTGACCATGTTTCCTCGTTAGTTATGGCTCAGCTTTAAACTAGCATAATAGGAGCCTCCGTGTCATTAATAAAATTCCCAGATTTTACTAATAACATGACGTAAAGTCATGATTTTATTAATGACACGGAGGCGAGTATTATTCCCACCCTCCCACCCAGTGGGTATGGTTAGGGTCTATTCTTATGGTTCAATTGGGTGGGGGCTCTTTTACCTCAAGGTAAGTGTTCACAGTTTTCTCTGACTTATTTGGATCTATGTACTTATGTGGTTCCGATTTGACGTTTTTTAGTCCTGCAGGCCAGATTGTCATGAAATGTTACATGCAGGTCCGGAGTTTGGATTTTACCTACCTTTTCTCTGTTTTACAGCTTGATTTCGTTAAGATGACGTCTACCTTGTTGGAGATTGTTCTTTCCTGATGTGGAAGTTTGGTTTGGGTCTTCAGTTCAGAAGGCAAAGAAGAGGAAGTGGAAGTACTAAGCAAGGTATTTATGGACTGTTCCTACTAAGCTGATTGGCTGCCCTGTTACTAGGCAGATCTGGTTGTATCTGTTATTTTTATTATTGCATATCTACATTTTTTCTCTTTCAGTTTTATATTTCTCTTTGCTGCTGAGGAATAAAGTAAGAAAGAGATAGCATAATACTCGCCTCCGTGTCATTAATAAAATCATGACTTTACGTCATGTTATTAGTAAAATCTGGGAATTATTTTTTATTTAATTGGGTGGGGGATGGGAGCAAAGCTGGTGGGTAATTTGAAAATGTCATTAAAAAAAATTAGTTTTTGAATTAAGTGTGTGTAAAAAAATAAATAATAGTATCTAAAATTTGCAAGCTTCACGCTGCTGCTGCATCTTATCCCTTCTGACTGGTGGATGTCTGGAGAAGCTACAATATAGGGACACTGCAGACATCCAGACCACTTCTGCCATTGGAGTGGTCTGGGTGCCAACTCCCATCACCCTAAATCCTGCAAGTGTAATTATTGCAGTTTTTATAAACTGCAATAATTACCATGCAAGGTTAAGTCCTTCTCTAGTGGCTGTCTATCAGATAGCACAAAAAGTGTTTTAAACTATGCTGGACGTGCTCACACTATGCATGAGGACCTCCAGCATCGCCAGAATCCCCATAGGAAAGCATTGAATAATGCTTTCCTATGGGGAGGTCTAATGTGTGCGTGGGCATTGCCGCGCATGTGCATTGGGTCTCCCCCGCCACATAACGGCGGAGCGTCGACGGAGCCTGACCCAGCGCCAAGGGACAGCTGCGCTGGATTCAGGTAAGTCACTGAATGGGTTTTAACCCCTTCAGCAACATGGGTTTGTTTTCCTGGCACTGGAGAGTCCCTTTAAAAGCAACATTTTTGTGGGGGAAAAAATGTCTTGTAGGGATTATGTTGCTTGGAAAGTGATCCTTTTTCAGTTTTAAAATATAAAAGATAAAAAAATGAAAATATGTGTAAAGTAGCCTCCAGCCAATCTTATTATGATTCTCCAGTTCCGATGATATTTGTCCAATCCTTTTTCATAGAAAGGCATTGGTGTCATAGAGACCAGTTGTGTGATCCTCCAGTCTAATGCTTCTCTAGAGAAACATTGAATCAAGTGCCTCTCATGGAGAAACATTGGCCTTGTTCAGGTTTATCATGCTGTATGTGATGATGCCAAATGTGAAGACCTTCAAATGTATATAATGAGGATAAAGCTCCTTTAGTGATATGTGCTTGTAACAAATTGAAGAGCCTGACCTGCTTTTATGGGGGTTTTATTATACACCAGTTTGGGACATTTGAAGCATTCATCATACGAATGCAAACTACTGAACACCGGACCACCTTGCCCCCTAATTATGGGTACTTTACCTCCCTGATCCGCAAATACATTTCGCATAGAAAACCCACAAACGCTTTGTGAAGTGCCTGGGTGGCCGCCATTTCGGGACTTACACGTGTTCGTGGCCATCTTAACTCCCGAACAGCGTTGTTTTGCCGTCGAGTGTCTGGAACTAAAATCGGACACTTGAGTAGGCGAACACTGCTGAGACCGGGAAATCGTGCTGAAACTACCGAACAACCTGCCATTCGGTAGAAAGACTTAATAGCCTATGGGGATTCTGGCGAACGTCGAGTTGCGCACGGATGGCAAGCCGTTCGGGACTTTTATGCGCGAACAAAGACCGACCACAAGGCCAAAACTCATGGAACTATTTTCGGCCACTTTGCCAGTGCGGTCGGTCAAAACTTTAAAGTTCCATATCTCCCGAACCGCTGAACCGAATGAGCTGAATTTTTAGTATGTTGGGGACACCGGATTTATGCATGTACCCCAAGTATTTGGGGTACATCCAAAACTTGGGAAAAAATGTGTCTCTGATAATTGTGTTACAAGCTTATCTGAGGGGAGGAGATGTGTGGGATGTACCTTATGTTTTATTGGTTGTTGTGTTAATTATGTGGGTGTCTCCCTTGCATGGGCAGAATCACATAAAAAGAGAGTGCCTGCCATTAAAAGCCAGTTCTTCTTGGGGGCGTGGCCTGGCAGCCGACTAGAATGGCAGCCTAACGAGCGAGCTCCCGCTCACCCACACACAATTCCGCACCGGCAACCAGCACCGCAGCCAGCACCTACCTTCCCTATGCCCCACCCGAGCACCGGAGCCACTCCACGCCAGAAGAAACGCGGGGAAGCGCTGGATTTCCCCCCCTCAGTGGCCGACATGTTCGCGGCCTCGCGACCAACACAGGCCGCACAGGCCTCACAAGATGGCCGCCGGACGGGCGCGCGAGGCTCCCAATCCCCAACGGACCGGGAGCAACAGGAGTCAGACGGAGGTAGCACAGAACAAATCCTGCAAAGGCTTGCAGAGGTCAAAACATACCTGGCAAGTGAAATCACCCGCAGCACACATGATATCAAAGCTGAGATCCAGGCCCTGGGCGCCCGCACCTCAGAACTGGAGCAGAGGATGGAGGTACTGGTTCAGGGCCACAATGCTGTGATACAGCACTCCACCTCCCTAGACCACCACATTATAGACCTGGAAATGCAGGTTGAAGACCTGTCCAACCGCACCAGGCGGAACAATCTGCGCATCAGGGGGTGGCCCGAAACGCCCAATGAAGGCCCTCTGGCAGCGCTAGTGGAAGCATATTTTAGCGGCCTACTCCCAGACATCCCCAAAGCCCAGTGGGCCATGGACCCTGTGCGCCCGGCGGGGGGACAATGACACCCCGAGAGATATAATAGTTTGCTTCCACCACTATACCACTAAGGAAGCTATTCTGCGGTACAACAGAAACCACGACTTAACATACAAAGGCAAGCCCATCTCTCTCTATCAAGATCTTGCACCAAGCACGCTCAGTGGCCGACATGTTCGCGGCCTCGCGACCAACACAGGCCGCACAGGCCTCACAAGATGGCCGCCGGACGGGCGCGCGAGGCTCCCAATCCCCAACGGACCGGGAGCAACAGGAGTCAGACGGAGGTAGCACAGAACAAATCCTGCAAAGGCTTGCAGAGGTCAAAACATACCTGGCAAGTGAAATCACCCGCAGCACACATGATATCAAAGCTGAGATCCAGGCCCTGGGCGCCCGCACCTCAGAACTGGAGCAGAGGATGGAGGTACTGGTTCAGGGCCACAATGCTGTGATACAGCACTCCACCTCCCTAGACCATCACATTATAGACCTGGAAATGCAGGTTGAAGACTTGTCCAACCGCACCAGGCGGAACAATCTGCGCATCAGGGGGTGGCCCGAAACGCCCAATGAAGGCCCTCTGGCAGCGCTAGTGGAAGCATATTTTAGCGGCCTACTCCCAGACATCCCCAAAGCCCAGTGGGCCATGGACCGGGCGCACAGGGCCCTGCGCGCTCGGCGGGGGGACAATGACACCC